TATATATATATATATATATATATATATACACACACACACACACATTTCAATGGCACCCAAAATGCACCTGTGCATGTGCACCCCGTTTAATTCTGAAGTAAACTTTATGTCTGTAATGCTGCATTTGTATTTAATTTTAAATAAATTACTTTTTTTTTAAATGTATCCGATTAATCGACGTTAATAATCGGCTAACTAATCGATTATGAAAATAATCGTTAGTTGCAGTTCTAGTAAAGTTTTGCAGTGTATAGTAGGTGTGAGCCAGGCCCAAGAACTGGTGCTCAAATACTTACAAAATGCTTTCACAATAGTTACAACTACATTCTAAAGCCTGCAGTACCTACCTGTTATCCTATTGGAAATGCTAAACATTCGTGAAGTCCTATGCTGCTGATGAAATGGATCTCTGTACTTGTTGCCAAAACACATGCTTAGAAGCTCCTTGCGCACAGTCTTATTCCAAAGTCCATAAATAAGTGGATGACAAATTGCACTTGTGAATGATAGCCAAGTAGCTAATGTCTCAATTACTGGAGAAACACTGTTTTTCCCCCATAAGGCCTCAGTGCTTATGACAATCATATAAGGCCCCCAGGTAAGCACGAAAGCACCAATAACAACTAATATTGTTATAAAAGCTTTACACTGGTTGGCTGAATAGACAATACTTGAAAACCCATTTCTCCTGCTCCCTGACGAAGATGTAGAAGTACTGGAATTCTTTCTCCCATTCTTCTGAGGAGCTTCTTGAACAATAATGACAGTTCCACAGTGGATCTTTCTCGCTTTTATTCGAGCAACTCGAAATATAAAGCCGTAGCAAATCATCATTGTGACGAGAGGCAGTAAAGCACACCAAATCTGCCAAAAGGCAGTATAGCCAGCCTCCTTGTGCCATGCAGCTACACACATCCACTTGAAGTTATCAAACTCCAGCGAGGACCAACCAAAGAGGGGTGGAAGACATCCTATGAGAGAATGGAGCCAAACATATGCTATAGCCAGCACTGCACGATTGCCTGTGATCTTCATAGGATATACCATTGGGTAAAGAACAGCATAATACCTACAAAGAAAATTTTAAAAAATCATCAAAATAAGTATTTTGTAGGAATGTAAAAAGTTATGGTACAATGTCATGGGGGTTAGAGGTCAGAACCAAGCAAGAAGAAAAGCACTAGCGGCCTTTGGCATTAAATATGGAAAAAAAAACAGAGCCGTACTGGATAAGGTCTGGCAGAGTATAGATCCTTAAAGTGACACTAAACTCGGGAGTAAAATATTAAAATTGTATTCAAGCACCTTAACTCTTAAAATGTAACTTATTAATCAGCTGTAGATCCTCAAATCATCTCTGAATTCGGTATTGACACTATCCTTCATTCTGGAGGGTGGCTAATTTGTTCCCCATGGTCCCGGTGTATGTTGTAAAAGTTGCCACCACTCCAAGCTCACTCCCGTGATGGACTACAGTCATATTTAGTTTACTACTATCTATTGAGGCTGTAGTCAATCATGGACAAGCTTGGAGGGGTGGCTACTAGTGGTGGGACAGTGTCAGCATGAATTCAGAGATGATTTGAGGATCTACAGCTGAGTGATACACAAAAAAGATACATTTTTGTTAATAATTAAAAAAGGTACCTGAATGCATTTCTAATATTTATCTCGTGAGTTTAGTGTCACTTTAAAGCACAGCAGCAGGAGCGAGATACACATTTCATGGACTCTCTATGGGGAATGCATTGCATCTACACCAGTTACTTTTGTGGACCTTTCAATATAACATCCCTATCATTATATAATCACAATCATACTTTAAGGTGAATATAAGCAGAACAAAGCTCTCATCAATATGTTTCAGGATATTAGCATTTAAATAGATACACTATGAATGATGAATATGCAAATACAAAGCGGTCTCTGGCTGGAGTCAATTCCAAGACCCAAGTGCCACAAAAGTAACACTAATAAATACTAAGGGCCCAGTCACCCCATATCCAGTGCATTTACAATATTTTCTGATCGCACTGCACCAGAACGCAGGGCATTCTAGTACCACACATTCTGGTGCAGGCGATTGCACTGGGGGAGGGAGGGCGTCTACAGTGCCATTGACATGAATGGCACCACCACGCCCCCTCCCACCACAGAACACAGGCCGGCTTGATTTATGCTATCCAGTACTTCCCAGGCTCAAAATGTGCCGGAACGCACTGGATATGGTGTGACTGGGCCCTAAAGGGTGATCTATTATAAATGCTTAGAGAACCAGTACCATTTATTCCAGTATAATAGCATGTATTGCAAGCCAGCTGCTAGAATAGTTTATCATTATTGAAAAAAAAAAAAACTGACAACAGGTAATTAGATAAAATCTCGCCAAACGTGATGGAAATCACCTCTGTAGACAAATGGAGTTTGGAAAATGGCTTCTCTACTCCTGTGCTGGTGGAAAAACTAAAATTAAAAACTCAATCAGCATGCTTCCCGATCAAGTGATCAATAGGCTGGTGTTTTTATTTAACCCCTTCATGACTGAGGCCCTTTTTTCATTTTTTGCACCCATGTTATATTCCACATTTTAGGCCTGAAAATGACTTAAAACCCCCAAACATTATATATTTTCTGAATGCCAAGACCCTATAGAATAAAATGGTGGTAGTTGCAAATTTTTATATTGCGCAATATTAGCGCAACTCCTTATTAAACCCCAACATTTAGTGAAAAATTTATTTTAATGCCCCAAAACACAACAAAATACCAATTATTTAAATAACCTATAAAAGATGAGGTTACAACGAGTAAAACGATACCCAACATGCATAGGTTACAAATTACCAAATAAAAACGGATGTAAAAAATAAAATACAAATACATGTCAATATTATCTATGTAAGCAAATCTGTTAAGAGTTATTGGTGAGCTAACAATGCATGGCTGATGTTCCCAAATTTGTCGAGGGCACCTAGGCATCATGGACCTCTGCCCAGGTAAGGGTTAAAACATTTTCCCATTGGTATAACAAACTGGATTTATAGTACTTAATTGCCATTAATTGATTCAAACATAGGTTAGATGTGGTAGCCACAAATATATTAAAGAGAAACTGTTGTTGATTGTGATACAGCACTAATGAATTTTAGGCAGAGAGCCATTTTGCTAAGAATGTGAAAGCAATAAACATATCTGGTCACAAGCCTCGAACAGCTGAACTCCAACTTGTTCTCTTCGCAAAATAAAGCTGACACATAAGCTATACACAGCCATGCAGCAGCAGGACATGTCAACTGTTGAGAGGCAACAGCTGTGCAGTCCAGTTCTAGAAGAAAAAAAAAGTGTCTGTGTAGGGCTACAACAACTAATCGACATAATCGATTATAATCGATTGAAAAAGTTGTCAACTTTTTCAATAATCGATTAATCGGCTTCCGATCAGTTAGTCTCCTTTTCCAAAGTGCTGATATTGGCCTTTGTGCATAAATTAATACATAGAAGAAAATTGACATTGTGAAGTGCATGGAACATTAACAGCGACCCCACATCAGCTTAGTGGATGTGGCCCTTCCACACTTGTAGCATACTTGAATATGCGCAAAAATGGGCTAATTGCGTATGTTAATGAAACACAAAAATTGAGTGCCGCACTTGTGGTGTCATTGTTGTTAAATGGCACCCTAAACCAGGCAAGTGTGTGAATATGCACGGTCTAAAAACCGCATAAACAAAGCGCCATTGGTCAAAGCAAACATTTTATTTTTTTTAAACCCAGTGAGGCCATCGCTCGATGCCTCAGCAGTGACGAGCAAGTGAGGGACAGGGAGCCTCCTCCCTTCCACCTTCACACTAGCTTGGGGATCAATTTTGGGGCAGGGGTTTTGTCCGGTGGGGGTGGTGTTTCGTTCAACAGGGCGGGGCTTCATCCGGCAGTAGCAGGGCTGCAGCCGGACGTGCTGGGGCGAGGCTGGGGAATGCCTCACCCGGAACCAGAGGTACCGCACGTCACTGCAGTATATAAAAACATGATTTCTGTATCCTTAGACAGCAGCAGCACTGGTCTAACAGCAAGCCAGCTTGGAGGATCAGGTGAATATAACTTAATTTTTTAGCACCTAGACATAAGCGAGCAGTCAATCCTTGCAGTGCCTGGAGTTCTTCTTAAATGTTACATAATCATTCTGAAATATTGGACAACTTTATTCTTGTCTAAAGCACCTTAAAAGAGAACTGAGGGTTAAGTGTTTTTCCCCATAGTTCTCTTCAGGGTCACAGGAGGACATATACTAACCTCCTCCCGTTATCCAAAGCTCAATATATAAAAGTTTGAGCTACTACTTAAGTAAACAGAAGTATGCTGACGGTTAACACGACTTACCTGTCTATTGCTATAATGCCCAAAGTAAGCATACTGGCAGAGCTGATCAGCATATAAAGAAGGGCTGAGAAATTGCACCACACTACTCCAAATATCCATTCTCTCAATATTGAGCTGACAACAACAAATGGAAGCACCAGAATGGACAGCAGCAGATTGGATAACGTCAGGCTAAATACGAACTTGTTGCTGAGGGAAAGCAAATATGACTTCTTGTACAATGTGATCACGATGACCAGGTTGCCCAGACATATCAGAATGTCAATGATGATTATAGCTATGGATTCGGCTACTATAGTAGCCCCATTTTCAGCAGTTTCGTTTCCCACACCATTTCCTGCAGAAGAGTTGATGCTCATTGTCAATCACAAAGCAATCCGGTTTGAAACATGCTGGGGACCTGGAAGACAACAAAATAACATTGAAAACAAAACATAAATCACAGCAATATGCAGAATATTTAAAAGCAGACCTAATATATTTTTTTTTATGTAAACACTCTAAAGTGGCAAGTTAAAAATAGTGCATTAAAAAACAAATCTGTCCTGTGGCTTTTCCAGGCCTCCCAACATCTGTGCAGGGGGATTCTCCATGACCTCTTGGTTTCAATTTCTCTGGCTAGACAGTGCAGAGGTCATAAGCTTTTCACAACTCCCTCTTAGCAGCTGATCGGCTGAAGAATTTGCAACATGTTCCTTCAGTAAAATTCAATCTAATGAGTAATGATCGACTTCTGTCACAGGAATAGGGCCACCAACACAGTGAAAATTCCCTACGTCTGTACCCAGCTTAAGTGTGTCGGATGCCTGGTCCACCCTTCATTCTGTCGTTCTATCTGCATCAAGGGTGTCAACATTTTTATCAAAAACTACTTGTCCAAGGACTAAAGCGTGGGCCCAATTTACTTGTCCCGACACAAAAAAATAATTTTAAACAAAACCCTATTTAATTGTATACAAGCAGGTACATTTGTGTCTCTTGTGCAATAAACTGCCTGTCTGCTCCGAATGTATTATTGTTGTTTAGCTCCACTTTGTTTAAGAACAAGCATGCACAACATCCTCTCACCACATCTAAAATCACTGCAATTCCCAGTGTGAAATTGGGCTCAATAGTTGTACGGTGATGAGATAGTGGATGGAGCCAGTTGCTGTACCACAAAGAAACGCAAACCTACCCTACTGTAGACTCCAGTGATACCACATACCATTGTGGAGAAAGGATTAGAGAAACCCCCCCCCCCCAGAGTTAAGACTTAGCGATAACTCTATTTCCAATAGTCTTCCAGGACAGCATCACGAGATGGAATCTCCTCCCCCAGACACAGGAAACACGTCACACTATAGCTTTAAAAGGTCCGCCTCTTCTCTCCAGTCCCTCAGTCATTATGAGAACCAAAGGAAAAACTGGGAAAAAAAGCAAACACCACCACCAAAAACAACAAGCATCAATGGGTGGGCGGCTGCTGTCCTGGAAGACTATTGGAAATAGAGGAGTTACCAGTAAGTCCTAACTCTGGATTTCCTATAAAAGTCTTCCAGGACAGCATCACAAGAGGATAACCAAGAACTTACCCAAACCCAAAACCACAGCTTGTAGTACCTTACGACCAAATGCCTGATCCCCTGCAGAATTGAGATCTAAGCGACAATGTTTAGCAATGGTAGAAAAGCTTGACCATGTTGCTGCTTTGCAAATCTGTTCCGGGCTTGCACCAGCTCTTTTGGCCCAGGAGGCTGCTGAGGCTCAAGTTGAATGTGCATTTATGAAGGAAGAAGGAGGCATTTTCAAAACAGTATAAGCTTCCATAATAACCGGTCTTAACCATCTAGCTAAAAATGATTTAGAAGCCTGCTCCCCCTTAGATCTACCCAAAAATAGAACAAAAAGCGTCTCTGGTTTCCGAAATTCCTTAGATACCTGCAAGTAACGAAGCAGACAACATCTAACGTCCAAACATCTAAACGTCAACTCCTTATTACTAGCTAGATTAGAACATAGAGTAGGTAGGAGAATCTCCTGCACTCTGTGGAAATTTGAAGATACCTTTGGCAAAAAAAAGCAGGATCTGTCCTTGGGATTACCCGATCCTTAATTAATAAGAATGGCTCCCTGATAGACAGCGCTTGGAGCATACTTATCCTACAGGCTGAAGTTATGGCAATAAGAAAAATTATCTTTAAAAAAGGTGAGATTTCGAAGTGAGGATTCATGCAAGGGCTCAAAAAATGGAACTGTGAGCCCCTGTAGTACCGTAGACAAATCCCACTGAGGAATTGTTCTCATTGCCACAGGCCTGATCCTTCTAAGGTCTTTAAATAAATCAAGCTATAAAAACTCTTCGGCCAGAGACAACTGAAGAAAAACACTAAGTGCCGACACCTGTACTTTAAGAGGACTAAGCGCTAAACCCTTACTAGCTCCCTCCTGGAGGAAATCCAAAATGGCTGGAACCCCAGAATCTCCGTTACACTTAGCTCTCCATGAGTTATACGTTTTCCAAACTTTGCCATAAATCTTTCGCGTCACTGGCTTACGACTATAAAAGAAGCGTATCAATGACCCTGCTGGAAAGACCATTAGCCCTTAATATTTCTTCCTCAGATTGAAGGATGCTAGCCTGAATCTGAGAACCACCGGATGCAGCACCGGGCCCTGGGATATGAGATCTGGCCTGGGAGGTAGAATCCAAGGTGGGCAATCCGTGAGGGAAAGCAGTAGAGTAAACCAGGCTCCTTTCGGCCAATAAAGCGCAATTAACATTAGCTCGGTCTCCTCCAACATAAAACTTCTGAAGAACTTTGGGAAAGAGATGTATTGGGTGGAAGGTGTAACACAGAGGAAAATTCCACAGGTTCCACAGAGCATCCACCGCCAAGGCGGAATCTCCTGGAAGCAGGTAGAAAACGGTTTCATCTTTGTATTCTCCTGTGAAGCAAAGAGATCCACTACTGGAGGAGCGCACTTTTGACAGGCGTGAAAAGAATCTCCTTGTTTAAACCCCACTCGTCCTGAAGTATCTGATGACAATTTAGGTAATCTGCCAAGAGATTGTGGGTTCCCTTCAGGTGCACTGCCGCCAAGGAGGCCAGGTTCACCTCTGGCCAGGAAAATATTTCCCTGGCTAGAATCTGCAGAGGCAAACTTCTCGTGCCTCCCTGCTTGTTTAGATAGGCAACTGAAGTGATGTTGTCTGAGAATATCAAGAGATGGTGTCCTTTCAGCTTGTCCTCAAAAATTTTGATTGCATTTGCGATTGCTTTCAATTCCTTCCAATTTGAGGACATTCCTGACACTCTTAGAGACCAGCGCCCCTGAGCCAACTCCGCTCCCAGATGAGCTCCCCACCGCCAAGAGCTTGCATCGGTTGTCAGTTTTATGGTGGCTTGAAAGACCCACTAAAGACCCGACTGAAGTTGTGTCCGAGTTCACCACCACAGACTTCTCTTTACTGAGGAAGGAAGAGGAATCGGAGAGTCCAAACTGTCAAGAGCTCAATTCCACTTTCTCAAAAAAAACTGCTGCAAAACATCTCTGATGAAAATGAGCCCACTTTACTGCCGGCAAACAAGCAGTCATGAGCCCCAGTACTGATATGTGCCTTAAGGATACAGGATGACTGCCCTGAAGGTGACTGACCGCCGAAGAAACCTTTACAATCTATTCCTGAGGAAGGAAAGTCTTTTATTCCACCGTATCTAAAACATAACCCAGTAAGTAATGGCACTAGATGGGATTTTTGAAGATTTAAAATCCACCCCAGTTCCTGCGACCATCCACGAGTTACCATAAAATCCTTCTCCAACTGACTGGCAGAAGTTGCCGACAGCAAGATGTCGTCTAAATAGGGAATGATGTTGACTCCCTGCAGTCTCAGGGTTACCAGAGCCTCCCCCATACCTTCGAGAAAATGCGAGGGGCCGAGGATAGACCAAACGGGAGAGCCACTGGTAGTGGTGAATAACTGGACCCATCTTCACTGCTAAGCGGAGAAATTGTTGAAAAGCTGGATGAATAGGATATGCAGGTAAGCATCCCTCAAATCCAGAGTAGCCATGTAAGCCCCTGGTTGCAGAAGAATTATGATTGAGAAAATTGACTCCATTCTGAATCACTTGTAAAAAGAATACCCCCTCTCTACCTCTGCCCTTCTGGCCTGACCAATGTTTCTTGGGATTTTCCTGCGGTCTATTTCTCGAAAAAAAGGGCTTTTTCTCTGGAAATGCTTTTCTTGTCTGCGGTTCTTTCCAGAATAGTTCCCAACTCTGCCCCAAAAAGCAAATCTCCTGAAAAGGGCAGGTTACATAACCTTAATTTTGAGGCAGCATCCCCCTCCCAGGCCTCCAGCCATAAAAGCCTTGTGAGAGAAGTTGAGAGCAGAGGACCTGGCTGTCATCTTAAACGATTCAGCTGAGGCATCCGCAATATAGCCAACAGCTTTAAGAAGCATTGGTAGTAACTACAGGAGCTGTTCTCCTGGGGTTCCCGCTAACAAATGTATTTTCAATTGTGAATGCCAAAACTCAGAGTTTCTATCTGCACATGTTGTAGGCAGAGTGGGATTCAATTTTAATAAAGAATCCCAAACTCTTTTCAATAGAACCTCTATCTTCTTGTCCATAGGGTCCTTGAGAACACCCATGTCCCCAAAGGCTAAATCCGACTTCTTGGACACCTTAGCCAAAGGAGCATCCAGCTTTGGAATTTTGTTCCAAACCAAGCGGGGTCATCGTCAAAAGGAAATCTGCGCTTTAGATTACCAGATCTGAGAGGCTTTTTCTCAGGGTCTGCCCATTCTCTGAGAATAGCATCAGATAGAACCTTATGTACAGGAAAAACTTTAGATTTCTGAAGTTGTAAACCCTAATACATGAGATCGTGTCCAGACAACTGAACACGTTCTGCCGGAATCTCTAATGTACTATAAGTGGCAGCCAGTAAGTCATCCACATCTTCCAAAGACAGCTTATACCTGGGAGGTGCCTGAAACGTCATCTTGGGTAAAATTATGGGACGGACCTGGTTCACCAGGATCCTCCTGTTCCGACACCCCTGAGGACCCCACAGGGCCAACCTGGGCAGTACTGATAGGAGCAGGAAATGGCCCAGAGGCAGCAGGCCTAAAACCCTCCAATACTGATCTGAAGGAATGAAAAGTGGAGGCTAACTCCTCTTTTACAGTAGCTAATAGATTACTGCAAGCAGCTGTGGATTCTTCCCTAAGTGTATATCAGAGGCATCCGGACCGGGGTGTCCAAATGATGGAATAAGCAAATAAACGATCTCCCTGTCACGGAAGAACCCTTCAGAAAGCAGTTTTCACGGACCTCCTTATCACGGAAGAACCCTCAGCGTCATC